CTTCTTCTTCTCTTCTTTCCCTCTCTCTCCTCTCAAGTTCATTCATTTCTTTTTGCAATTGGACGACATTGTACTTTCTGATGAATGTATACTTCAAAATTGGCCAGGATTGTAACAGCTGAAAGGAGAGGTGGGGGAGAAGAGACTTAAGAGGGTGGAAGAGTAAGCATCCATCAATGACCACGTAGATAGTAGCCCCTTGATTCCCTCTCCTTCTCCAGGCCTCCCCTCGCCTCCATGTCAGCAAACAGTGTCCAAGACACGAACCTGACAGGGCCTGATCACATCAGAGTGCCACGTGGCACAGTTCTCCCATGAAGACGTTACCGCAGCGCGCAATATCGACATCAGCAACTGGTAAGTATCCTCTCTCGCTCTCAGTCAATCCACAGATCCCGATTTCCCTCCTTGTCGCGTCCAACTCAGCAATAAAGATTGTGGCAAATGGCACGTCAGCAATGTAGACAGTGGCATGTGCCACATCAGCAAAGTCGAAGACAGCGTCGCATGTGCCACGTCAGCAGAAGACAGCTGGCCCCAGAACAGGAAGGCGCCAGCACACGGGCAGCTGTCTTGCGTTGCCGTCGCACAGTGCCAGCGTACAGCCAGTGTCAGGCCAGCGTCAAGCCAGCGTCCAGTCAGCGTCACGCCAGCGTCAAGTCAGGAAGGCAAGACTGAATGTTGACTCCCGGAGGCAGGGGCCTTAAGTGGTGTTGACGACGTTGACCTGCCTCTGGTCTCCAACCCATGGTGGCTCAGATTGACTCACAGCCGACGGCCTGGATCTCGTACAGTTACAGGCATCCACTTGGTCCGGATGCTGTCTGGGTACCTGCATACAAACAGGTGTGTGTCTGATCGGCGGCCTGCGCTGGGTCCATGCAGGCTTTGACTGGAGGGCCTCGTACAGTTGACTTTCGGTCAACTGTTGGGCGCAGGGTCCCTGAATTCAACATTTGAGGTCCTGCCTCTTCGCAATGCGGCCTAGGGCCGACGTCGGCCCTGTGGGTGGCCCTTAGACGGTCCACGAGGCATATTGAAGCGGGTTATTGCAATCTCCTTATCATAAACAAGGTTGGGCGGTGCTTACGACAAATCCTGGGACGCCCCTGGACGTCTTTTCAACGCTAGCTTAGTAAATCTGGCATCTGCAGTATTAGCAATTGATACGAGTCGTTTCCGAATACACTTGTGTTCAAATTTCTTCGACTTCCTCTAAACAGGAAACGAACTGTCAAAAAAACTAACATAAAATAGAGAAACATGTTCACTTAAACCGAAGGGCACTGACCTCACGGGATTGTATACCACCAATATACTCCAGCTGATGCAGTAATGCGCTCCTCTCCACAATGTGAAATCCCAGATGAACCCACCATACAGGTCCAGGCCCATTCACGCTGCCGTGTTTCTCAGCAACACAATTCTCCTTGGAAAGAATTCTCTTGTTGTCAGCGGCCAGGCTCATCAATGCAGCCAACTCCAAGGCCCTAACACCTCCCATGTCTGCAACTCTTGCACCAATCCACTCTGACAAATGCCGTGCAGTTGCCACCATGCTAGTTTGGTCTGATGTCTTGTGTTGCAGAAGCAGCCTGAAGACACCGTCCAGACATTCTGGACCTCCTAAGACAAAGATCTCATATGCTCTTGCCCGGTTTTTGAAGTTCAATTGTGAAACCACGAACTGATATGTATCCTTGCTTGGCTGACTTCTTGGGGATACTTCTGGACACCCTAATGCCTGGGATATCCTTGCACTGTGAGCTTGGCGGATGCACTCATCCACTCCTGATGACTGTACATTGGTTCCATCCCTAACGGACTTATTTCCGTCATTTTCATTGCTACCATGTTCTTCTTTGTTTCTCAAGTTCCCTCTTCGAGTAAAGTTAACAGTAGTATTCCCCTGATGAGGATGGGAAAAATCCTTTCTCAATTTTCTCAGAAGGTCCATTGCTGTCTTTGAGCGATCATGCGACAGCTCCAATCCAATCGCAAGCCCATACTTGCCCATCAACTCATACAACTGACCGTACATTGTGTTCCGCTCTGCAGCTGGGATACAACAGTTAATGTCACTCGCCAATCGGCAACCAATCAAATAAGCACGTCTGTCTCCTCCATCACCAAGGAGTTCAGCCAACAAAGCCTCTTCATTCCTGCCTTCAGCAAAGGTTGCCATGACTGGAACAGTCGACCGGGATTTCGGCCAAGCCCTCCAGAAACAAAATCCCTGGTTGCCTGCAAACAGGCAGGATCGTAATGGACAGAACAACGACAAGTCAAGAACATGTTCCGGAGAGAGATGAAATGGACAAGCAAATTTTCAGTGAATTTTGCATCAGGCCATTAGTGCCTGAACGACACTCCAAGGGGCCAATGGCCCCTACACTTTGACCTAGATACATTTTGGACAAGCCAATAGAAGAGAAAGGCTGGGCCGGCTGTGTGGCAATGCTGACCCAGGCAGTTGGGGTACCAGTATCCACCATCTTTCCAGAAGACTCGGGAACCAAGCCAGTCCGGCCCAGTGCAGATCCCGTCCACTCTACTTGGGCAAGCTCAGCGCATGCAGCAGCATCATTCAGGCTGAAGACAGGCCAATCGGAGGAAGAGCCCCAGCCAGCCAGCCGGCACCTGGCACCGGAGCGATGGGCACCAGCCTAGGAGGGAGGGAGGGAGGGAGGGCTAGAGAGAGAGAGAGAGAGAGAGAGAGAGAGAGAGAGAGAGAGAGAGAGAGAGAGAGAGAGAGTGTTACGTTCTAAGCCTGCTCCTCAGACACGAGCCATGGAGGCCCACGGCCGGCCTTAGGGCCGCAGGTTTCAATTTGAGGTAGCATTCATTTATTTATTCATTTATTTGCTGTCCTATTTTCATCTGTTCAGGCATTGTTTCGGACTTGCAGTTCGTTCGAACAGACCTTCGGTCTGTTCGAACAAAGACCACGTTTTTGGCCTGGTACGGACATAGGCAGGCCCTGTTGGGCCAGGTCCATTTTCGTTCAGTAGCCGACGTCCCTGCTGCATCAGCAGGGAGGGTCTGGACTTCCAGTCAGGACCCAGACCCAGTAGGCCACGTTTTGGGCCGAAGACCAGAGGTACACGAAGGCACACCCGCAAGGCCCAGCGCTACTTATAGCTGGGCCATGCCTGGGGAGAAACGCTGCTGGAGCAGCGCGACATCGCTATGCTAGAAGTAGAGGTGTAAGTAGGGGGGTGAGGCGGAGGCCATACTTGCGTCGGCGGAGATCTTACCTGGGCGCCATAGCTGGTCTTCATGCCAGCGACCTGCAGCACAGAGGAGACACGCGGCAACAGTCAGTACATTGCGGCAGTTACCTGCAGGTGAGATAGCGAAGAGGACGGCATCTTCTTCTTCTTCTTCTTCTTCTTGCTCTCGCCCTTTATCTCTCCTTCTTCCTCCTGTCCTCTCCTCTTTCTTCTTCTTCTTCTTCTTTCAGAGAGAGAGAGAGGGTACAGGCAGAGGTTACATCGGGCCGTGAGGCCCAGAATATGATTTGACATTTTGTGGCAGACATTGATTGGACATTCGGCAGGGAGACTATTTTTGGACTTCGCTATCACGATCTTGGTCTTCTCCCTCATCTCCATCTTTGTCTCGCCTCTCTTCATCCGTGGTATCTCCCCATCTGTGTGATCAAGGAGGGACCTTTCTTCTATGTATGCGGTCCTTCCGCTCTCTCTAATATGTGTTGTGTATGATGGGGTGTTGCCTTGGTATCTGACAGGTCATATCTTTGAATCTTCCACTACGCTACATTGTACTATTTTCATATGTATCTGGATGTATATTGGTTGTTGAGGCTTTGCTGACACTGCATTGTCGATTCAAGTCTGTTCCATCACTTTGCGGATCCTTGGCTTCCCTCACATCGCTTGACTGAGCATGTATCAGTTGGTATTGGAGCTGCACGCTAGTGAATCAGGACGCACCTGACCTGATGCGCGATTAGGGGAATCAATCGATCGATCATATCGACCGATCGATCGATTGATTGATCGATTGATTGATCAAGTGAATGATTGATTGATTGATTGATCGATTGATTGGCAGATTGATTGATTGATTTGATTGATTTATTGATTGATTGACTGATTGATTGATTGATTGATTGGTTGGTTGGTTGATCGATTGATCGAGTAGGATGACCTAATTAATTCCCATCTGCAATTTCTACCTAAATTCTGGAAAAAAAATATTTTCGCGCAAATTCATTTTTTTTGTTGCGAAAATTGGTATGGTCAGAAATACCAAATCCTGCATTAAGAAGTAGCTGAAAATTTTGATTTTCTTTTTCTTTGAATTTCGTATTCTCCGTTGCTTTAATACTTTGCGCAAATTCGTTTTTTTTGGAAATTCCGAATCACGTGCATGGGTCCTGGGGACCCTTTCATGCAAGTGTGTACATGTCATGCATCATCCTCACACACCACGATCAATAGTCTCAAGTCATAGACAAAGGTAGATGAGAAGAGGACCGAGTTTCACAGCTTATATTATCAAAAATATGAATACAAAGTGTTTCAAAGTTCCCCTTAGTCCAGCACTCAACAGCGCAACACCAATCTCTTGTCAACTCATCAATATGACTTCCAGTGAATCAGCGCTACTCCTGCAGATAGTCTCCAAGTCATCAATGTG